ACACTGTTTCACTCATGTGGTGTTCTCACTAGCTAAGACTCATGGAGTGTTCCTGAATGTCCATCATAAAGATGCTGAAAAACCAAATAGAATCCAATTATTTATTTATTATTTTTGTTTTTTTATACATCAGTTGGGGTTGGATGTTAGTTGTTAAGGGAAGGGCGAACCACAAAGAGTGTCGAAGTCTTCTCCATAAGATTTGAATTCAAAACCTCACACTGCGAAGTGGTGCTGCACAATCAGTAGGACCAATTGCTTGATCTAGTGCTTTGATGTAGGACCCAGTGCTTTGGAATCACCATAATACTAGATCTTTTGGTAATTTCAAGTTAAACAATTTGGTTTTGATGTAGGACCGAGTGCTTTGGAATCACTATAATACTGGATCTAATACTAAACTCATGTAGGGAAGATTAGGAAACTTACAGAAATGCTTGTCGCAGCTGGGGTTTATGGCTGATTAAGTAATGAAAAGTTAGGTGGCTTACTGAGTTAAAATCAATACTACAATTGGTTTGATTTCAAACTGTGAGCTTGTTGGATTTCGTACTATTTTATGTGTTTGGGGTTGCATCATAATGTCAAAAGTGTTAGAATAGGAAATTATATTCACGTATGTTATTATGGTTTGATGTAATGGGCTGTAATGAATTGGCCCATAACTCATGCCTTGTGGCACTCCTGTAATTATGTTTTATTTTTAATATAAAAATGAATGAGGTCTCACTCATTCCCTATCTCTTTCTCTTCTCTAAATCTATATCGTATCGATGCCAAAACCCTAGCCCATACCTCATTCACTTCTGTCGGTACTCATTCTTCTCGCTAGCATCATGGTCGGCAATTTTCTTTCTCTCTCCAGGAGTCTAGTCGGCTGCTGTAGACTCTCACCCAGGCCACGATAGTTAATCCGCAGCTCTGACTCACTTTCCCAGGTCATCAGCAGACCTCCTGGGCTCTTCGACAGCTTCTTAGGCTTAGTTGACAACCCCTCTGGCCTTCTAGGGGTTTGTCGACAACCTCTTTGGCCTTTTAGGGGCCTGTCAGCAACCCCTATGGCCTTCTTGGCCTTTGTTGGTGTCGCTCTTGTCTCCTAGGCCTCTGTCGGCCAAGCTCCAGACAGTCGGTCGATCTCCATAGTCTGCTTCTCTCTTTGTTTCTTGTAATGTTTCCAACTTTAAAAAAAAAATTATGAATTCTTAATTCTTATGCTTTCATCGTGGTAGTTGGGTCTTTCCTTCTGCTATTATGTTCCAGGTTATTGATTGGTATTGTGTTTGAGAGTTAACTAGTAGAGTATCCATGGCAGATTCCCTTAGTGAGTCCACTGCTTCTCAGCCACCTAAGAGCGAGAGTTCCATGATACCTCCTACTATGATGGATAATCTCAACACTGGCCGTAAGATCACCACCTCTCTATTTAATGGTCAGAATTATCTAGCCTGGTCACAAAGTCTAACTATTTTCTTGAAGAGTAGAGGGAAGATGGGGTATGTTGACGAAAGGATACAGGCACCCAGTACCACGGATCTTAGTTATGACCAGTGGGAGATCACCAACTCCCTAATCATGGGGTGGTTGATACATTCTATGGCATTTGAGATTGGAGAGGGCTACTTGTCTATAGATACTGCCCAGGATATTTGAGAGGCTGTCGCAACTACTTAATCCAGGAAGGGCAACTTCTCACAGGCTTTCAAGTTACGTCGCTCCATTGAAAAGTCAGTACAAGGTGAGATGACTATTCTCTAGTATTTTAGCTTTCTTAGCAATGGGTGGAAATGGCTTGATCACCTTTAGGATTACAAGCCTGTCTATCCCACTGATTCTGCTGGTTACCAAAAGTTTGTGGCACAAGAGTGGGTCTTCAAGTTCTTGAAAGGCCTAAAGGTAGAGTATGATCCAGTTCGGAGTAGAGTACTTGGCATGGATGTGCTTCATTCTCTCTAAGAAGCCTTTGTTTTTGTGCAGAATAAGGAGAGTCGCTACTCTGCGATGCTTTCTTCTGCTACTATTGACCACTCAGCCTTGGTGTCTACACCTCCTCACGATACTCGTGGTTCTTGTTTTTCCTCTAAGAAGGATAATCTTTTTTGTGATTACTGTCGTAGACCTTAACACACACGAGAGACTTGTTCGAAGCTGCATGGGATTCCCTTTGGTGGTCGAGGCGACCGTCTTGGTACTCGAGTGGGTAGGTCTGGTTAGTTTAGAGGCCGCGGGGCCAATGCTCGGGCACATCTTTCCTACACTGTTGAGCCACCATCTTTATCTCTGGTTATTTCTCCTGCTATTGATGTTTTGGGGTTATCTACCTCGGATTTTAAGATTGATCTTCGTCACTTGCTAGACCGTCGAGCCTCCACTTTTGCTATAGGTGCACCCTCTTCTTCCTTTGCCAATTCGGGTAACTTGGCTGCCTCCCCATGTGCATTTCTATCTTATATGACTATACCCTAGATTATTAATTCTGGTGCTTCCAACCATATGTCTGGCTCCTCTAATTTATTCTCCGAGTATAACTCCTTCTCAGGTCGGGAAAAAGTGCGTATTGCTAATGGTACTATTTCATCTGTGTCAGGGAAAGGTTTAATTCATGTCGCCTCTTCCCTTCCTTTGTCCTCTGTACTTCATGTTCCTAATTTTAGTGTTAATTTTTTATCTTTGAGTCAGATTACTCATGATTTAAATTGCAGCGTAACGGTTTTTCCTGATCATTGTTTTCTCCAGGACCTTATCACGAGGAAGAAGATTGGCAATGGTAGAGAGAACATGGTCTCTACATTTTGGATCAGACAAACAAACTGGCTCATTCATCTATCCAGTTACCATCCACCAAGGACGACATTTGGCTGTGGCACTGTCACTTAGGCCATTCCTCATTTTTATTACTTAAGTATTTATTTCTTTCTGTTTTTGAGAAAAATAATGTGTCTCATTTTTTATGTAAGTCGTGTCAACTTGGAAAATAACACCGAGCCTCTTTTGCTCCATCTATTAATAAAAGTTCAGTTCCATTTTCTTTCAGTCATTCTAATGTATGGGGTTTATCCCGTATTGTGTCTGTAAAAGGTCAAAAATGGTTTATTACTTTCATTGATGACTGCTCCAGGGCCACTTGGGTATATCTGATGAGAGATAAGAGTGAGGTGTTTTCTGTGTTTCTAAACTTTCATAAAATGGTTTGTACTCAGTTTGGGGCGGTTGTCCAAATTCTACGTTCTGATAATGGGGGAGAATATATTGACTCTGGTCTTGCTAGTTATTTCGCCACTCATGGCATTATCTACCAAACTTCCTGCACTAATACTCCTTAACAAAATGGTGTTGCCAAATGCAAAAATCACCATCTCCTTGATGTGGCCCGTTGTCTATCGTTTGAGATACGGGTTCCACGCTCCTACTGGGGGGAAGCGGTTCTCATTGCCACATATTTAATTAATCGGCTTCCTACCCAAGTCCTTTAAAAACACACACCTCTTCAAGTCTTGGCAGGGTCCTCTTCCAGGTTCTTCATTCCTCCTAAGACCTTTGGCTGTGTTTGCTTTGTCTATAATCATTCCCCTACTAATGGTAAATTGGATCCTAGGTCTCTTAAGTGTGTTTTTCTGGGTTATTCTGCCACCCAAAAAGGTTTCAAGTGTTATCATCCTCCCACTCGCAAATGGTTTGTCTCCATGGATGTCACTTTCTTTGAGTCTCAACCTTACTTTCCGATCTCCCTGGTATCACAGTCATCCCTTTAGGGGAAGCCTTGGTGTGAAGAGATTCCTATTCCACTTTCACCAGTGGTTGCAATGATAGAGTATGATGAGCCAGTAGTTGTTGAGGAAAAGGAAGCAAGCAAAGTTTAAATCAGGGACAAGGACAAAGATCAAGTCTCCTAAATGCAAGAGAATACTTTCCTTCCTTTACTACCAACTTCTTCTCTGGATGAGTGTCCAGAGTCACCCTCCTCTCCTGAGAGTCCAGGTAATTCTGATTCTAGTGCTCCTATTCCTAAGTTTTTAGATCTTGATGTTCCCATTGCTAATAGGAAGGGGGTTAGGTCATGTACTCAGCATCGTGTTACTAATCATGTCTCTTATTCTAATCTGTCTTCCTCATATAAAGCCTTTCTACCTAAAGTGTCTTCTGTGAGTCTACCTACCAATTTTCAGGATGCTCTCTCTATTTTTTAATGGAAACATGCCATAATGGAAGAGATGAGAGCTCTCAACAAGAGTGGCACTTGGGAGTTAGGGGAGTTACCTAGAGGCAAAAATCCAGTTGGATGTAAGTGGGTGTATACGGTAAAACACAAAGCAGATGATTCCATAGAGCGATACAAAGCAAGATTGGTTGCTAAGGGCTTTACTCAAACTTATGGGGTAGATTACCATGAGACATTGCACCGGTTGCTAATATGAACTCCGTGAGAATCTTACTCTCTCTTGCTGCAAATTTGGATTAGTTGCTTCATCAATTTGATGTGAATAATGCCTTCCTTCATGAAGACCTAGCAGAGGAGGTCTATATGGATATTCTCCTTGGTTTTGCAGATGCTAAGTCCAAAGGTAAAATATGTAGACTCCGAAAGTCACTTTATGGGCTAAAGCATTCTCCTAGGGCTTGGTTTGAAAGGTTTGCTCAAGCTATGCTGAAATATGGGTTCAAGCAAAGTCAAGCTTACCACACCTTGTTTATGAAACACTCCTCATATGGTAAGATCACAGCTCTTATTGTTTATGTTGATGATATTGTTCTGACAGGGGATGACGTTGAGGAGATCACTCGATTGAAGGAATACTTAGCCAAGGAGTTTGAAATCAAAGACTTTGGGTAATTTGAAGTATTTCTTAGGCATTGAAGTAGCTAGGTCCAAGGATAGTATTTTCATATGTCAGAGAAAGTATGTACTAGACTTGTTAAAGAAAACCGGGATGCTTGGAGGTAGACTGTGTGATACACCTCTAGAACTGGGCCAAAAACTAAGTGAGGATCAAGAGGGTGAGCCAATGGACAAGGGGAGATACCAGAGACTAATGGCTAAGCTTATATACTTATCCCACTCACGTCCAGACATTACCATTGTAGTAAGCATGGTTAGCCAATTTATGCATGCTCCTAGAACTTCCCACCTAGAGGCAGTTATGAGAATCATGAGGTACCTAAAGTCTTCTCCTGGAAACGGTCTCTATTTCTCAAAACATGGACATCTTGGTGTGGAGGCCTTTACTGATGCAGATTGGTCTAGATTAATCACTGATAGAATGGTCAACCTTTGGATATTGCACATTTGTTGGCGCAACCTAGTCACTTTGCGAAGTAAGAAACAGAATGTGGTTGCTAGATCTAGTGCTGAGGCAGAATTCCGGGCTATGGCTCAGGGTGTTTGCTATGGATCGGACTATTGTTGGGAGATTCAGGGATCCGTCAGACCGATTCTATGAGGTTGTACTGTGACAACAAGGCGGCGATCAGTATAGCTCATAATCTAGTTCAACGTGACAAAAACAAACATGTGGAGATTAATAGGCACTTCATCAAGGAAAAACTCACTAGTGGCACGATATGTACTCCATTTGTGAAAACTAGAGACCAACTAGCAAATATTCTCACCAAAGGAATAGGAAACAAACCATTTTATAACATTCTCAACAAGCTGGGCATAAGAAATATCTTTGCCCCAGCTTGAGGGAGAGTGTTAGAATAGGAAATTATATTCACATATGTTATTATGGTTTGATGTAATGGGTTGTAATGAGCTGGCCCATAACTCATGCCTTTATTGGTGTTTTAAGCATTAATAGGGGCTCTTTTCGAAAGCATTGATGATTTGACTCCTTAAGAATAGCCTGGCTTTTATGAGCAAAGAGAAGGATTCAGAGGAACAAGATGGAGAATATTTTAGGTTTCTATCTGAGTTTATTCCTTCTGAACTACACCTGAAGCAAGGTTGCCATACATTATACAAAGTTTCAAATTTTCTCTAAAAAATTTGGAAATTAATTCTATTGATAGACTTATAGACATGCATGTCACATATGTAGGGTTCTAATTCAACTTGGTCTAAAATTCAGAAATAGAAACTGAGGTCCTTTGACTTGTTGAAAAAATCTAGATCGTGTAAATTCTCCATAAAACCATAACTTAGCATACAATACAACCCATCGACCAAAACCATAGCCCCCGTCAAGTGAATTTTGAAAATTAGCAAATGATCCCTAACATTTAATGTAAGAAAGGCAAAGTTTTTAAAGGCGAATGCGTAAACACCCTCACGAGGTGAGGCGTAAGCCTTAAGGCATTGAGGCGTAAGCATTTCAAAATCTGAAATTTTATATTTAGTAAATATTTTAAAACAATAAATAAATACATCAAAATTAAATATAAAGGTGTAAATACTTTTATGGTCAAGGCTCACTATAGAGAATGAAGCTTTGTTTTATTGAAAATGAAATTGGTATTCTTAGTTTTGGTGATTGAGCTTCTCACTGAGCATTAACTTTGTGTTTTTTCTTGATTAGTCATTTACTTAATTTTTCCTATAGAATATAGTTGTAAAAGGGGTTCTTTTTTATTTTTTATGTTTAAACCATCTACTAGAGTAAGTTTAACAAGACCCTAAGACAAACTCTTTGTATGCATACTCCTCACATGCTTATGCATAAAAGGCGTACAAGACGCACCTAAAGCGCATGTCTTAGATTGTGCACGCAAGCCTTTGGGGAGTAAAGCCTAAAAATCAAAGCCTTGAGGCATTTTGCCTTAGCCTCGCCTTGAGGCGAGCATCGAGGCAGGCCTCAGTAAAGCCTTTTAAAGGTAATAAAAGATAAATAAAACTGTACAGCAGACTATTGAGCTACAAAAAGTATAGGTGCGCAAATGAATAGATGAACTAGCAAACTAAACCAATCATGTCTTCGTAGTAGGGCTGGTTCATTATGGGACTATTCTCCATTTGGTTCTGGATCCAAAACATCCCATAATTGACGTGGTCGTTTCAGTTCCTGGTTTAGGGCTCAAGTAATGTGGAACAACTTGAGAACCAACCCCATGTATATATTATATAGTATTTATTATGGATATAAATATTCTTGATTTGTCTTGATTACCTTGGCTTTAACCATGTACAAAAATCATTTGCCTAGCATGTGTTGTTGACTTTATGTTTGAGTATTTACAAAAATTTTAGTGGACAATTGAAGTGTTACAAAATGCAAGTAGAACTATGGGAGCCTAAAGATTTTCAGTTTTGGTTAGTTAGATTATGTTCATTCATTGGTTTGGTTCTAGGTTTGGAATTTCCATAACTCACTAGATTCATTTGGTTTTAGGTCTAGCACTAACCCAACTGAACCCAACCCAACCAACCCATGCTCAACCCTACTAAAATTTTTAAATGGAGACTTGAAATTCAAATTAGAAATTATTAGATGACGTCTCAAGTATATTGTTTCTATATATTCATTGGATGTCTTTTAAACTTAATTTCAAAGAGTTTGACCATGTATTTTACGGACTTTATGGTTAGACATTTCTAAACTTTTTAGTGGGAAACTAAATAATTAATTCAAGTAGTCTGTTGGTCAACATGAAGCAACTGAGTTTTTCATTTTGGGTGGAATGAGTTCCATTCATTATTCAGTTTGGTGGTGTGTCCAAAATTCCCATAACCAATAAGGCCAGTTTGATTCTCGGTCTGGCACTAACCCAACTAAATTGAAATTATTAAATGAAGTTTCGAGTACTAGCATACAAAATTTTAGATTTGCCATTTTATTGTTAACATGCCCGACTTTATTCTTTGCTACATTATGAGAAAGCTTGCCTTCAATGTAGTATTCTAGGAATAAAGAAAACAAATAAAAATGAACGATGGTTTGTATTCTTGGAAGATTGAAACACTTTTTGTTTTTTGGGACATGAAACTTCTACTAGGAAGCAGTAAGGACAGTATTAAGGGCCTGAGTGTTTGGAAATAAAATCAGTGGCCTGAGTGATTTGTAGATCAGGGATATGATTCAAGATGTTGTAAACTAACATTGCATTCTTACTTTCAATCTTAGACTTTGTTGGAGTTGGTTTCACAATTACCATGTTCAGTAGCAATCACAACACCTGGTTAAACCTTTCAACATCTGCTTACCATCTTGATTTTGAATTATATAGGTTAATTCTATCCTTTTGCTTTCCATAATCACTTCATTGATATTGGCAGAGCAACAGAGCAAGGCATCAATAGGGATTTTTTTAAATTGACATTTAGCAATTTTAATACCCTATTCTTGGATCAATTATTGAAATTTTGGTTGCGAAAATTTTCGTCTATGCAAGTCTCTCATTGCACAAGGGCCTTGATTTTGTTACTAATGCTTCCCAGGATTTGTCCTAAACAATCAAGCAGAAAAAGTATGATCCTTTAGGTTGAAACTCAAATGGATGAAAGACTAGTATGTTGGTGTGCATGTTTTGATACAAAGTTTTTGATACTAAATGCGTTGTAAGAAATGTATGAAAGTCGGGACTAATGCTGCTTTTGGATGAGGTATATGGTGGGTTAGGTTTGGTTTATGGGAATTTTGTGCTCAAGAATATATAAATTGCTTGTTTTTAGACTCAATTTATGGAAAGTTTTGAACAATTATTTATGGTTTTTGGAGTTTAAATGGAAATCCAAAACGTAAGAGAAGGTGTATGGATGGGGTAATGGAATGGTCATAAAATAGGGTTCTGAAAATTGCGAGTTAGTTCATGATGGCAATTGTTTTTTTGTTGATATAGAAGGAGAAAACAAAGAGTTAATCTAATTTGAGGCAGTTTAATTTTTGGCAATCGCACCAAAAGTTCCTTGAGGATAACCACCTCCTAAGATGTAGTTGCTTTAAGCCTCTAGCTTTGGTACTTCTCATTGATTTTTGGAAATTATTATTTATCAAAGTGAATGATACATGCATAGTTGACCAAGGGGTTGTAGCCTGTGTGGCTAGCCCTTTGGCTACCAAGTCTCTCCTAAGGAGAGGTCTTGGTTCCACTCTTAGGCGTGGAATAGAAGGCCAGACTAAGGTGCTTATAAGGATAGGGTGTGAGTTCAACTCATATTAAATGCTAATTTAACAATTAATCACTGACTTTCGTTGATCAACACACACACACACAAAAAAAAAAAAAAAAAGTGAGGCTACAATTCATTCAAAATAAAAGATATGAGATCTCATTTCTCGTCTTAATTTACAGGGAAATCCCAGACAGTTGATTTCATTATTATTTTCGTTTTTTTCTTGATTTCCTAGGTGTTCTGAGCAACCAAACAGGGACAAAGAGAGAAGGGGGTTCACTGACCTTAGAAGGATCGACTTTGGGGAAGCTCTTGACGACGTCGAGGACTCTGTCGATAACCTCTTCCTTGGTGATGTGATCGTCGTGAGACGACATCGATCGGACGGTGCTGCAGAGGCTCAGTTTCGATCCATTCAGGGTTAGGATTTGAGCAACAGGTACACGAATGCGTCCAAGGATGGCTGCTCTCAAAGCCGACGCCATCTCTCACTCTCTCGATTCCTAGTTGGAGGCAATAGTGATTCAGAATGACGACAGTTTGGGTTAAAACTTGAGTAATTACGGAAATCTTAATCGCATCTACCTAAAATTTCATTACTCATTATTTATGTTATTTTTAATTTTTTTTATAATAAAAATCAAATATATTAAATATGAATTTATATTTGAATCGCACAAATGATATATATTTAAAAAAATTGTAATGTGCAAATAAAAGTTCTCATTATTCACTGTAATTTAAGTAGGTAACCATTTGTAATCCTCCGGCACATAGGCATATACTTATGGATTTTTATTTTTTAAGGGAAGATATGTAAAAAAAAAAAATAGAGATAGTGATAAGACAATTTATATGACTTTTTTTTCTTTTTTTTTCACTTTTTTAGGCTTTCTCCAAACTTAGCTTGAAATATCTTATGAGTGGAATATGTTAACTTACTTTTATTGAGTAATTAGAAAATAAAAATGACCTACATAAATATATTTGTAACATTTTATTTGTCAAAAAGAATCACGTAAATACCTACTACCAAACTATAAATAAATTTTGGAAAACCTGATCTTGTCATTAATAATACTCAATAATAATTTTTTTTGAACCTTTCACTAGTGGTTCGTTCTTTCATTATTCAAAGATGGTGTTAAGAGCCAAGAGATTGGACAATAAAGAATATTTCCCAACTTCTCAACGAGGCTATTTATTATAATCATCCAAACATAAGGATGTCTAAATCTATTAAGAACAAATTGGATGTTTGGAGTCTTCACATCATCAGTGAGTTACAAAGACTTCCATTTTTTTTTTCATGTGGATGCAATGCTAATGGTTCATTGTTTCTTTGTTTAAAGATTGTGTTAAAATCCAAGAGATTGGACCAGAAAGAAAATT